TATATATATATATATATATATATATATATATATATATATATACATATATATATGCAAACCTTTTCGGTTTTATACTTATAAAAATTGACAAAAAGCATTGCTACCACATGTATAATTTCCTATACAACTTTGTGTTGGTCGACCCGGTAAAATTCTAAATAAAATATAAATATTACATTTAGGAATGTTATATGAAACAATTTGGATAAGTTAATTGCAAAGCACTCTGGGATAATTAAACATTAATATCAGGGGTAGTACTGTTTTTGAACACTCACACATCCACAGTTTGTACATTTTCCTGCACATGCTGCGGTGCTGTTCAGGAATCTCCTCAAAGTTTTGATAGAAACAGGGCTTCAGAGGAACGAACCCGGGCAGCGGGGGGAAATTGGGCTCCGTATCTGTAAATGATAGAAGAACAGTTAAATATGTCACATTTATGTCAATCATTTGTTTGTGCGTGTGTGTTTGTGTGCGGAGGGGGTCGTTTTTATTTTATACTGACCAGCCATTAGTGCACAGTTTGTTTTCAACCTGGTCCTGAACCCTGTCAAACAAAAAGAAACGTCAGTTTTGCATATCTGGTAACTTGTGGAAAATCTTTCAGAGATTTTCAACTTAATGGTGAGGATCCTAGAGCTGCTACACCGAACAGTAAAAAAGTAGGTTAACAATAGGTGGAACAGCCGTCCAGGAAGATTGAATATTTCTGCTTGATGTCAACGACACTATCTTTCCGCTTCCATCATCTACGAATAAATATTAACACAGACTGGAGGCAGCCTCACGATGAGACGCACTATTGCATTCTGCGATTGCTGAATATGTTCGAGCTTGCTGTCGTTTCCAGGAATTACGGATTGAACAGGGAACTTAATCTGCTTACCTCCGACAGCAGCGGCTCCTCTGCAATATGCTTCCACACGGCGGTTCACCTGTAACCTGGACACGCTGCGAACACCGATCCAGCGCTGCCTGACTTCACTATTGGACGATAACGATACTTTTGTTGCTCGGTGTAGCTGTAGTAATAAATAATGGCTATTCTAAACATCCACCAATCACAGCGTAGAGCTCTGCTGTCAGATTGATTCGGTCCAATGGTGGGATTAGTTTAATCCTTGACGTTAAATTGTTGACCCAATCACTGTTCAGAACCCTGTCCATGGTGCTGAACGCGGAGATTTAGCAGCCAATTCGTTTTGAACATTTTCTTTTTAAAGGAGATTTTAAAACGATTCTTAACACAGTAGCGTCTTATTTCCGTAACCTGTCGGTTAAAGACATTTTAAAAGGTTTATTAGGTGGGCAATCTGCGTATGTGACCCGTGACAGGCCTATATTAACAGTTGAAGGGCTTACCCCCTGTTATTTGAGCTGTCTTAAGCAAAATCAACAAAACATATTTGACAGCTGTTTTACATGTGTGTCATAAAAAAGTTCCTCAAGGATCCATCCTTGATGCTATCTTCCTGAATATCTGAATCTCTCCCAAGGCTGAGTCATAAGTTACAACGAGGAAAAATTAATTTCAACTTTACATAAAAAGGAACTCCTTATTTCTGCTATATCTGCCACATCCACAACTCACTTCATGTCACTGTCCACTGTAACCTTGGGAATGTGACTGAAACACTCCCAAACTAAAAGCCCTTTTCATATTATCTGCAACTTTTCCAAAAACTTAAATCTAAATAAAACCATGCCTTTAATATGCTAGTAATAAAAATATGAGCGTCTCATTACTCTAGTCCTCCATTTCAGCCATTGCCACCTCAGCTCTTCATTAAAGAACTGGTTACTTCAAACACCAAAGTACATTATCTCTTTTCACTTTCATCACAACTTCAACTCCTCTGTACCAAACAAATTTCTATGAAAGACTAGGTCTTAGCTGACTTTTGTCTGTGGAATACATTTTCACAGCAAGTGAAGGAAAAGGTTTGATAGAACAGGGAGCAGAAGCTGGGGTAAAAATTACACAGAATCTTAAAGCAAATTCCATTTGAAAGTGTTGGAAAATTCACAAGGCATGGAATGAGCTGGAATCCTTGGTCCACACTATGCCACTACACAAAATCCATCTGAACACATACTACACATTTTGCACTCCTTGTATTACGTACATTTGAAACTAAGAAAACATCAGAACCCTCATACTTGTTCTAAAGAGAAAAGGGTAAATTGTTAAGTGGACTATTAATGTCAGAGAGCCAGGAGTAAGAGTGGAGAGGTACAAATTCCAAGTAGTCAGTTAAAAAATGTTCATTGATTTATAATTCATAGTCTTTTTTCCAGCCTTTTTATTATCATTACACTGTCACATGTACAGCACAACGAAATTCACTCTCCGCATTTAACCCATCTCCTTGGGGAGCAATAGGTTGCCACTGTCAGCACCCGGGGAGAAGTTCGGGTCTTGCTTAGAGAGGCAGAGTGGCAGTCTGTAGGAGTGGGTTTCGAACTCACAACCTCAGGATTCCAAGCCCTATCCAAAGAGCCATTCCCATTCCGATGCTGCAGTATAAGATGACTTAAAAGAAAAAAAAAAAGAAAAGAAAAGCTATAATTATCTCATATAGGAAATTTTCCATCTTAAACAACCAACAATTTATGTATTTTTAGCTTTTAAAATAATATTAAAACACCTAAATTCTAAGCTAATTAAAAGAAAAATGGCTCTGAAAACCTATTTTTGGTTCTTTTAATGTCATTCTTTCCCGCCTTATAAAAAAACCACTAAAGCTTTTAAGACTGATATTTATTATAGTACATTATGTAGTTCTTTATATACATTTTAGCCACTATTAAGATCCCCTGTAGAGGGTCCAAAGAGCCACATGTGGCTCTGGAGCCACAGGTTGTAGAACCCTGCCCTATGCCCTAATCACTAGTCCACCATTCTCCCCTCTTCTTTCAAGATGTTAATAACATACAATATGACTTGTTCCTGTTTTATCTCAAATCTACAATTATCTTCCTAGTTTTCCTCACATTCAGGATCAGATGACTGTTTTAACACCATATCACAAAATGGTTCACAATGTTTCTGTACCATCTTGACCATCTCTGATCCATCCTGCAACTGCAGAGTATTTTTGCAGATGACAGGATTCTGTCTTCTTCTGTAGGTCAGAGGTATACAGAGTAAAAGTCTGGTGTGAGTACCACCCTGCAGTGTTGCTGACTACCTGATTAAACAGTTGAATCTTCAGTCTCACAAATGGTGGTCTATTTTCAGACAGTCTTTAATCCCAGGGAATCTTGAGCTCTCCACTTGAGTCTGCTGGATTTTCTAACAACTCAAATCAGGTGGAATTGTGTTAAATGCACTGCATAAATCAACATAAATTATCATCCCAGTGCTGTTTAAATTGTCTAAATGAAAGTGGGTTTGATGATGCAGGTGTATGAAGTGACAAGCAAACTGCAGGGAGTCTTGATAGCTGCTTGTTTGCTTGCTCAAGTGAACCACCAGGAGTCTCTGTAGGGCCTTTGGGATGTTGGATGTTAGGGTAATAGATTTATAGTGATTAAGGACTGTTGGCTGTGTTTTCTTTGTTTAGTAACAAGACAGGAGGTCTTCCAAATAACTGGAACCATCTAATGGGTCATGCTAAGGTTGAATTTATACTGATAATCCCACAGAGCTGCCCTGGACAGGGCTTAAGGATTTTGAGGCTGACACCATCAAGACCTGGTGCCTTATTATGATTCAGTTAACTAAAATTGTCCTTCTCTCTGACTCCAAAAGACAGACAATTGGAAGGCAAAGGGAACAGCATCTTTTGATGTTGTTGAAGATGACTTCAGATAAGCTAGATAAGCTTCAGATAAGAAAATGAAACATCTGAGGTGTAAAAGAGACGCTTTGGGTCAAAAGAGAAAAGGATGTCCATTTGACTGTGGGCCTGGGAGATGGACTCTCTGAGCTTGTTCTTGATATGAACCTACTAAAGAATGTGTTCTGCCCAGACTTCTGTATCTCTGAAGCCCTGGTTGTCACTTTTTAAATGATGCAATGTTTTTCCATATCAGACTGATTACAATGCATATAGAGATTCAGCCACTACTCTTTGGGAAGCAAATCCCAATTTGTGAAGATTTGTTTTCACTTAAATATAATTACCTCAAATGAAAATAATGCCTCGCATTTGACTGTGTCGGAATTATAAAAGTGAAAAGAAAAATTTAAAATAAACAGCTAGCATGATTGCCAAGTGAAGCTTCATGACCAGCCTGTGCAGCAACTACAATTAAAAGAAGGACAAATCAGCAACAAATGATGTGGGACCTTTTATATTGGTAGTGGGTGAGGCAGTGGAAGGTCATTCTCAGAGAGCAATCTGTGAAGTTTTTCAGATTGGATGCAGTATTTTGATTGGTTTGTTCAGCGCTTGATCCTCCTTCTATTGGAAACCTTCTTTATCCATCCCTAACCATACATCTCAGATATTGTTTTGCTGTAGCTTGTTTTCCAACTTTTTCCTGTATGCCTCTTTGTTTTCACATATCTTAACCTTTACCCATTCACTAACTTTGTCAGCCATGGGAAACAAGGGCCAGGCATGTTTTATTTCCTTCTCAGAAGAGGTTATAATGAGATCACAGGAGGTCTACTGCTCAGGGAACCAGGGTCCTCTGAAAGTGTTCAATGGTAGGAACAGGCAAAAGTCAGGGGACAGAAACATGGTCGGGTGTCCAGAGATCAGAAAGCTCAGAGTAGTCCGCTGTGGGGGCAGAATAGAGGTTGTGATCAGACAAAGATGGAATGTTGAACATCTACTCAGGTTAGGATTTTTGGTTAGATAGGAGAGCTTTATATAAAGGCAGCAGAAAGCAGGTATAGTGCAGGGGGATCTGATGAGCTTGATTACTGAGGGAAAACCTTGAAGAAGAGGATCAGAGCAGGCAGAATCATGACAATATATACTGGATTAGTATTTCAGTAGAATACTTTGTCCATCAGTTATATAGCTATGAATATTTATTTCTTAAGGGATAATGCTGTTAATGTGACAAGCTCATAAAGTTTTTAGAGGTGATTTATGCATGAGCTTAACTCAATGTTGTTAGAGGATGGTGTGTTCAGGGTGATGTAGAGCAAATGCCCCATCTAGCCAGAGCACCTAGCAATCAGTACAATTTTCAACCCTTAAAGGTGGTAGGACTCTCAGGCCCTCGCAGAGCTTCTATATACATATAACGTTTTAATTACGCACAATTCGATTCTTTACCATTATAGTGACTTCTTAAGCCAATTGGCTCCGACGATTTTATTTGGATTATTCATGTAAATGAAGCTGAATATGCATGCTTCACTTTTAGAACTGTATTTAGACCAAAATTAGTGAAACATGTATTATTTAAATTCAGTTCAATTCGATTTATTTATATAGCACCAATTCACAACATATGTCCTATCACAACACGTTAAAATTCAACCAGATCATCCAGTCAAACTGATTAAAAGTTTTCTGTCTAAGGAAAACCAGTTGATTGCATCGATTCACTGACTCAAAGGCAATCCTCACACTAAGCATGCTTGTAGCGACAGTGGAGAGGATAAATTCCCTTTTAACAGCAAGAACCTCCAGCAGAACGAGGCTCAGTGAGAGCGGCCATCTGCCGAGGCCGACTGGGGTTCAAGGAGACAGAAGCAGAGATACAAAAGGCAACTGTAAAAAGCAGCCCTATTAAGGAAACACAGCCAGGCAGATGGGCTCCGAGCCAGCTCCCATGTCAGAGGATAAAGAGAGCACATCCAGTTAGTCACAGTCAGAGAAACAGGACTAAACTGAAAAACAGGCCGATCTCCAACATCTATAAACAAAAGTCTTGATTGCTGCAGCACAGCTGATATATCTCTCTAGGATGGTGTCACAGCCCTCCTCCTAAACTACACACTACTTTATGTTTGTCACTTGAATCCATGTATATCTTACATTGATTGGTTTCCTTCAAATGTCCTCTCTCGTACTGCATGTTGCCTCATGCAAAGGA